CATGGTTATTTTTTTTTAGGAGTCTTCACCATTACTGGTTAAACTCGCTCCATTGGCTTGTCGCATTGAGCAATATGCCAGGGAGTCCCTTAGCGATAGAAATACAGGTGAGCCGCCAGCATCACCCGGATTTTTGTACAGGTTCGCTCCTGCCAGGAATCGAATCTCAGCATCGGCACTTCCGATTCAGCAACAACGAACTGGACCATTCCATCTTTTCAATGATATCGCTATAATGGTTACTTTCTAATTGTATTTCAAAAAGTAAAATAATTTATTAAATTATTCTCTTTTTGGCAGAAAAGGCTACGTAAATTGATAGAGTCTTAGATAGAAACGAATTACAAGGTCAAATTTATAAAAATTTCATCTAAAATATTTATTTTATTCGAAAAGCTAAGCAAATCATTTAGATTTTACTAAGCTCAGTAAAATCTAAAAATCCTTTGCCAGTAAAGTATAATTCTAATGCCTGAAGCTTATTTTGGTTCCGTTTTTCAATAGTATGAGTAGTGAAAGAAATATTTTTGCCGAATTCTCACTGCAGAAATAATTTAAATCTTCTTAATTTCATAGAAACACATTAGGTAAGGTAATTATTATGCAGTTTATATGAGAATTATTTTTGATAAATGGAGATAACTATTAAACTGTATGACTGTAACTCTTTTCAACTAGAATATTTTTCAATTATTTTCATGTATTGAGAGCACATAAACAGCTCTCGTTTGAACCATGAAAAGGGTTAATCTTTACTAGATTCAAGCAACAAATCGGCCGCTCAGTGATACCACCGAAAATCGAGGTTTAGGTTTTACAAATTCATTTGATACCGGAATAGAGTATCGTTGGTGAGGTCCACCCCTAGTAAATCCTTCAAAAATCCTGGTGGTGCTGGCGATTCACTTGTATGTATTTTTATCGCCAAGGAACTCCCGAACATTATATGTCTAAACCGATAAGTCAGCTATGTGAGGAATGGTGAGTTCTTTTATAAAAAAGTTATATATAAAAAATGCCGCACCAAACGATGAGGATTTTTTCCAGGATTATAAAGCATTTTCGAGAGGATCATTATGCATTCTCGAGACTGACTTGCAAGTCAATCCAGAATATTTCATATAGTATAATCGAATATGAAACCAAAATCGTATCTCTTTTTTCGCTCACCATAGAACAGTTAATCGGTGGATTTTAAATCGTCTTTTAATAATTTTTTCCCTAACGCAGATAGTTTTGAGAATGAATATTCGAGAATTTAGAAATGATCCGACGAACAGAGTAAATTATAATAGAATAGGATGACGTTGAATTCATTGGATAATTTTATCAATAGCAAAAGCAATTTAGTTTTGGCTTTCCATAAAATATCGATCACAAATAGATGTTGAATATCTATAGAATCCAGTGAATTTCATCTAGTACAGGTGTTCCCAATCTTTTTCTTGTACTAGCTGCCTGCAAAAAAAAACACTTTCTTCCCTACCCCCTTAGAATTTTTATGCTTTTCATTTTGCATGTCTTGTAAATCAACACAAAAATGAATTTTTTAGGGTGGGCATTTAAGAAAAATTTTTGGGTGCTTATCTAAACTAGTCTTGTTTTGTCTATTTATCGGTCGACCCTCTTATCGAGCTCTAGTGTTCCCATTGACCACCAATCGTTCTCTCAAGGTTCATCGACTTCCGAGAGCTACAAAGACTACGTCGGGAACTTCTAATTTAATACGATAAAATGAATGAATTTAATTAAAAAATACTGATTTTCAAACCCCTTTTCTATATAAAGAAATATCTTTGTTAAAATATATTTAAATATTCTTTAAATTTTTGATTTTTAATGGGAAATTTCACTTGTATGGATTTGCTTTAATGAGATTTCAAGAGGATTCGAGAAACTTTAATGCATTCATTGTTTTATAAATACATACTGATTGATTACTTCAGTCTACTTAATATTGCTTCAATTTTTGGTACCATAACTTTTAAACGATTTCTAACTTTCTAAGGGAGCCTCATATTGATATACCATAATTTTTAAGCAGTTTATAATTCTGGGAGAACCTCATATCGATTTTATCCTCATTTCAATCCATATTATTAAAATGAATTCAAAGTTAAATGGATTTTCGATAAGATTGATACTTTGATATTGAAGGAAAATTTTTCCGGTAAATTTCTCACAGTAATTTTATCACAATTTTGGTAGTTTTCAAGAAATGATTGCGAAAATTTTATAACATTTTTTACATTTTTTTAATTCTATTTTATTTACATTTTTCTTCGCTAACATTTTTCATTTTCATATTTATTCGTTGAATTTTCTTTTCGTCTCTTTTAATGTTTCATTTGAATGTTTTCTATACGACTCGATTAGCATATCAGTCGATTACTGCTGAACAAAGCAGTAAATTTTATAAAATTCTTCCCTCTTATTTGTGAATTTTCATTATTAAATAAGTATTTTTCATTTGCTGTGGTTTTGTCCGATGAACAATGATTGTGGTTAATAAGAGATGAACGAGGAATTTAAAGTTACATTTAAAGTTTGAAAAATAGAAAAGAGTAAATTTGAATATGGAGAATTAAAGGAAAAATTTTTTATCAAGTAAATGCTCATGCTTCTCCTTTGTCTTCTAACAACGCACACCACTTCTGCTTTAGTTAGGTTCCACTAACTATTAGGATACTGCTGAGTCACTTGGGAATAGATAGATAGAATCTTAAGGACCTGTTTGCCCAAGCACTATTCCAATTTTAATGACAAGCTTACTGCTTTAATGCTAGAAGATCTATTTGTTCATTGTTTTAACACTGAAGACAAATTTCTTTATCATTTTTCTGGATATATTTTTATGCTGGTCGTCGGTCTGATCAAATTTTTTTTTTTTATAGTGAATGAGACTCGAAGAAATATTTGTCTACAGCTCTGAATTTAAAAAAAATTTCTAAAATTATAGCGTAAATCTTAAAAAGAAAATTATTCCATTGCAACTACTCGTTATCCATTGTACTGTATAACTAATTAACAAATCACTTCTGGAGAGGCACCTTCAGATACACCTCGCGCTTTTGATGGCAATTTTACTTGTGTCAGGTACCGGAGCTGAATCCGCTACTATTTTATAGTATATTTCATTTTATAATGAATTGAAATAAGCAATCCAGGAAATATTTTCAAGAAAATTGATATTAATAATTGAACAATTATCGTGAAATTTAATATTGAGAAATATTAGCAGAAATGATAAATTTATTTTAAATCCATAATAAATCAGCAATAACTTTAAATCAAAATTTATATATTAGTATAATAAAGTGAAATAGAAATCCGATACGTTTCGCATAGATCTCTGCCTGCAACAGTCGTTGTGGTAGATTTAAATTTATAAAGATCGATCTCATTTTTGCTAAAATATGATAAATGTGTAGTGGTATTGTTCATAAAAAATATTTCGTAAATATGTTATTAATCGTTTTGATCGATTTAAATTTAATAAAGTAAATTCAATAAAAGAAAAATAATTTCTCTCCTTAGCTATAGTTTAATATTTTATGGGATTTTGAAATTTCGTATTGAAAAGTTCGGACAAGTTCTCGCAAAAATTTTTTTTTAATTCTTGTTTTAGATAACGAAATTTTTGTTTCATATGTTGATAAATTCATATTGAAATGTATAATTATTTAAGCTTATCTTATTTTGAAGAATATCTTCGATGGTTATAATTATACCTAAAAACTTGCTCAACTTAAGCCAAACTGCAATCTTTTTGACTGTTTATTTCATTTTGCAATATCAAACCGTTTCGGATTGATTGAAACTCGCATCTTTTAGTTAAAGCAGTTGGTGATATTAATCTTCAGTTATAATGAATGGCAATGGATCTTGCGAAAAATGCAATTTTCAATTATCCGATCTTTGCTTGAGATTGGGACCATGTGAAAGATACATAAGAGAAAAAAAAGTAAATTGTTAATAAGAAACAGCGATAAGACTGATAAGTAAATCGTTGCTGTGGGGATAGATTATGGAGCAGAAACGGTTGGGTTATAAAAGTTTTTGTATACATCGAAGAGGAAATCGATGGCAGGCAGTTTTAGAAGGGGAAAGGAAAGAAAAACAACGGGGGTGCAAATATATCACTTCTCGTCCATGTTATCTCGTGTGCTAATCGAAAGATACTTAAGAAACATAGGAAGAATAGAAGACTAGCATTGGTGCTACGAAACGACAGCAACAACCCCACTGACTATAATTCTTCTTTTTGATAATAGATTTACGTGAAATCTTGTTCAATTTTCATATTCTCAAATTTTTGACTTATTTCTGCGTTCAAAATGCTCTTGATCACGGCCCAAGAGACAAATTACGCAGACTATCGTTCCTGGCTATTACTTGGGCCTGCTACCATGAACAAAAGCAAACCTATCTTTGAAAATTCCGAATGATGTTCCCAAGCAAAAAGTTTTTCATCATATTCCATGAATTCCACTTTTGCAAATTGTGAGGCTTTAAATGCTTAACCTACAAAATGAATGCAGCTAAAAACATAATTGCTTTCATGATTGGCACTATAAACTGTCACTGGTATTTTCTCAGTTAATACATTTTAAATTGGGCGCTAATATGGACTTTTTTCCTTAAGATGCCCTGCAAAAATTTATTTCCCTGCAATCTCTATCTTCCATTACAAACTGTATTTAATATACGACCATGCAACTTCTTAGCTTTTTTTTTAGTTTAACTACTCATGTTTACCAGTGCTTCGATGAATTCATTACTTTTGTCATTTTGCCTTCGATCTTTTATGACTATGAATTGCAGTGATTAAATTAAATTAGAATTTTTTAATGATATTATAGAGTTTGTCATAGAATATAAGAAGGAAAAAATGAAAGATCTGGTTTATCGCTTCATTTCTTCAATATGGATTTAATTCCAGGAATTCCAGCTAGAATCTCCATAAAGATGTGGTACTGTATATTTGATGACGATAGGAGATGAAATCCACATTGATTTTATTAATCACATCGCTGTTAATTCTAAACGATGCATCTCCACCTGAGCTCAGACTACGTGATAATCTCTTGCACGATTATAATCCACTTGAACGACCAGTTGAGAGAAGTGAAGACCCTGTTATGGTAACACTTGGCGTAGTGTTCCAGCAAATTATCAATTTAGTTGGTTTTTAAGTGATCGTTGCTATAAATGAAAAAATAAAATAAAACTTCGCTGAGGCTGCAGTGAATATTTTTTCCTTGCATGACTATGAGTTATTACAAAATTAGTAGGCCTAAATAGTAGTAGCAAATGCTATTTGGTAATTTCATGAGAATGATCCGCAATTATCGATGAAAAGCCAATAATCTGAATACAAAAAACAAATCTTATTTTGTAGTTTTCATTTTCCGAGAAATCTCCGGGATTTTAGAACGAACGTGAAGAAAAGTTGGAAGTTAACGCTTGGCTCAAATATTCGTGGAAAGATATGAAGCTTCGTTGGGATCCATTAGAATATCAAAACGTTACAGACTTGAGGCATCCTGCTGGAAGCATTTGGCAGCCTGATATTCTTCTTTATAACAGGTTTACAGTATATGAAAAGCTCTCGAAATTTTAGAATTTTCTAGAAATTGCGAGTTTGCCTGTAAAAGAAAAAGCCAAATCTGAAGAACAATTTTAATTCTTTTAAGCGTTGATTCAACATTTGATAGCACTTTTAAAGTGAACGTTATCAGCTACAATGATGGGACAATTTCATGGATACCGCCAGGAATTTTTAAGGTCTCCTGTAAAATTGATATTTATTGGTTCCCTTTCGATGAACAAATTTGCTATTTTAAGGTTTCTAATTCCATTTTCTGAAAAATTTCGTGTTTTTTTTAGAACTGTATGTTAGAAATTCAATAATTATCAATATTAAAATTAGAAATAACAATACTTTCTTGAGTTAATTGATTGTATTACTTGTAGATAACAATATGTTTTTCGCAGACCAATCCATTCAATGGCTTTCGTTTTTAGATTTACTGGCCAAAAATTTCTGGAAAAATAATCTCTTATGAATAATATCCCTTAAAGAAAATATTAGTGCAAACAATGAAAATTCCTTCACCCAAGAATCTCATTTACTTCTTTGACGAACATTCACATGTTACGATCATTTTTATAAAATGATAGAATATTTTTAAAAAAAATTTGCTACTGATCATTAAAATGCCAAGAAATTCATGACTAGAAAGAAATTGAAATTTTAGTTTGGTTCATGGACGTTCAGTGGTAAAGAAATTGATTTACAACCCGGTGAATTTGATATGTCGGACTTTATTGAAAATGGTGAATGGGTGATTCTAAGTAGGTTCAAAATGTGGATTATTTTCTATTAGAAAACCTAACATTAGCATACTTTTAGCAATGGTAGATAAGTATCATATTTTGTTGCAAATTGTTGATAAATTTTTTGCAACAAAATATTTTGCAAACGTTGATATATTAGATGTCCCATGTTAAAGATTTGACATCAGTTTTGAGAAGTTATGGCTAATGTATTTTTCAGAAACTTGGGATGAACGGAATGAGAAATTCTACGACTGCTGCCCGGAACCTTATCCCGACGTCAAATTTTTCATACATCTGCGGCGGCGAACATTGTTAGCATTACTTAAATTTCGACTAAAGATACCTAATTTTCTTAAAATTTGCTATAACAGAGCGGTAAATCCTATAATTGTATCCAACAAGATGCAACTTTACTTCGTTATATCTTTCATTCCTTCGTCAAAATTTGATCATTTTGAATAGAGCAAACTGAGCGAATTAAAAATAAGTCTTCCTTCTCTATGTTGCTGGGATGGCTCAGTGGGCTGTTGCTCAATTCGGAGCGCCGATGTTGGGATTTTATTCCCCGCAGGAGCAAATCTGCCCAAAAATCCGCGTGATGCCTGGCTTAAAAAAAAAGTTCATTAGTCTAATTTGCCTCTCTTATTTTCTTTTCCACCTCAAAGCCAGTTAGTTATCTATGAACAGTTTTGAATAAAATCCTTTTCAGATATTATGCATTCAATTTAATAATGCCATGTATGCTAACAATGATCTTAACTGTGCTTGGTTTCACGCTAAGTCCAGATACCTGTGAAAAGATTGGATTACAGATCTCAGTTTGCCTTGCTATTTGTATTTTTCTCACGATAATGAATGAAATGACACCACCGACTTCCGAAGCAGTTCCTTTGCTGGGTTAATCTTTTTCTCTTGTTTAAAAAATTGAATCAATGGGCTAATTTTCTGCAAAAGTTTTTTTTTAGCTTTTCTACTGAATAATAGCAATATTTTAAAATCATTCTTGATATTTTGCTATTTCGGTGCTCGTAAAAACAAAGCCGTTCAGTATTTAATTCATAAATCCACATTATATCCATATTAATCCATTTATCTTTTGACTTTTCATACTCTTAAGGTGAATTTTTCCATGAATTTTTCTAAAATTTTGTGCTAAAAACTGAAATATTTTATGCAGAATATGATAAAATTTGCAATGAAATCTAACAAAATATCAACTAATTTGGATCAAAAATTATTAATGATTTAGTATTGTATGAAAGATTCTAACGAAGTTATATGATAGATAACTATTTCTATCCAAAATTTTTTAGATTTAGAATTAGAAAGTTCCATATAATCAGTTTTTGAAAAGGCTTAATTCTTAGGTAAGCAATTTTAGGCATATTCTTCCAGAGTTGCATGGTTATATCTGTAGCAGCGACAGCATTTACTGTATATGTTCAAGCAGTTCATTTCCGGAATCCTGACAATCAGCGCCGAATGGGATTTTGGGTAAAGAGCTGATTTTATATTTAATAAATTATTTTAAAATTAGATTATAGAGATATCAAGAAGATGTTTGCATTTTAATGAAGAAATTTGGAATCTCGATAGTATTTTATATTATACTAGTAAAAAGTATTGAATTATAAGGATTTATTCGTTTTTAGTCCATAAAATAAGATAAAAATTATAACTGTGGTCAGATATATGTACTAAACATTTTTAAAACACAAATTTGACTCACTTTGAGAATTGGCCTTTCTACTGACTTTATACAACTTCAAATCCCCTTATTCTTTAAATCGTCATCACTTAAACCCCGACAGTGTTTTTTACTCTCCCATCGCGAGCGAGTATTTTCTTTGAATACCTTCTATTTCCTTTTATTCATCGTCAGTTCCATTTCCCATCATTTTATCCTTTTATCCTTTTCCTCATTTATTTCCCGCAACTTTTTGAAAGTTTAGTATATTAAATTATGATCTCAAACAAACAACTAATAGAAAACATTTAAAATAAGAATAAAAAATTTTTCGTTGAAAGAACGAATTTTAAAGAGAATAAAAGAAAATAAGAAAATAAAGTAAAAAAAGTGCATATAAAATATATTCCACTTAACGAGATTCAGAGGGCTATTTGGGAGGCTAATGGTAGATTTAGGGGTATAGCAGGGTTGAGGTGATAAGCTATAAATGCGCTTGAAGGAGCGGTAGTAAATTGTAACTTAAGGCGATATAATTTAGAGGTCATGAAAAAAGGATACAAAGGAATTTAAAGAATATTGTAATGGACCAAGTTCAAAAGAAGGTGTTTACTGCTAGACTGTGTTAACAGGATGGTAAAAAATCGTGTAACGCGGTCTGGAGAGTAATCAATGGAATAATAATCAGATATTACATTCCGAAGAATGTTTAGAGTATTTCATAATCCTTAAAAGGACGTTGCTAAGGGGTCCTATCATATGCGCAGTGCGATGCGGTTTCAAAAGGAAATAATGGGATTTTTGGTTGGTGCTGAAATGCTATTCACACATCACACTCACACACAAAAAAACAGATGGATTATTCATTCGCATATATTTTTTATCAAATAAATACAAAATGCAAATGCAGGGTTGGTGCAAATTTGTCAATCTAGCAAAAGCCGACATGTCTAAATGTGTTTTAAATTTGAAGATGCGATATATTTTACTTGAATGGATTGCTTTTATACTTCAAATGCGTCAACCGAAACGAGAAAATAATCTGAAAACAATAAAGGACAGTTGGCAACAACGAAAAAACCGTTCTAAAGAAGATCGAACAGCTTTTTCTTATGTAAAATTTTTTCTTTCCTGTTAATAATAATCTTTTGAAAAAACTAATAATTTTATGTACACATACTGTAAACTGAAATCGGATATGTCACTAAAGTTAATTAGTGATTAGCGCACATCATTTTTGACATGGAACTCCACTTTCGCCTTGCTGATAGAAGATCGTCATCAGGAGGATTCTTATATAAGAAGAATATTATTAAATTCCTGAACCTCAATAATCGACGATAATCTAAACAGCAATGCTCGACTATTCTGCCCCTCCCCCTGCCCTGGTTATATTTGTTAATCTACTTAGCGAATTCTTATAAATTAGTAATATTTCTCAAAAGCGTTTCAGTGGACTATTCAAAAGTGGTAATATATCAATCATTTTTTTTTTTGTTTCAGAATGATGGTAAATCAAAAGTTATACAAAAAATTGGTGAATCTTTGCAAGAAAATTTTCAATATTTCATGTTTCATATTCAAATAGGTCAATATACGAAAAACGATCAAAATTTACAACAACGGTTGAGACTTCTTGACAGAATTTACAGTCACGTCAAGGTGATTGATCGTTCTTTATATAATAAAAATTTTCTGGATATAAATATTTTTTTAATATTTTTAATTTCAAAGCACTAGAATCATCATAGAAAAAAATCAAAATTATAAATTCAGTCAATTCGGGAAAGAAGTGATGAGGAGATAGAAGTCAAATATATCGCAAATGAATGGCGATTTGCTGCTATGGTTGTGGATCGACTTGGCCTTTTGCTATTTACAACTGTTATTGCAATAACATCATTAATAATTTTTACACGTGCACCTTATCTTGTCTCATGACTGCTAAAATAACAAATTGATAGAAACTGAATGAAAAATGTAGAGTTCTTAATTCTCCAGGATTTTAGCATTCTTTTTCTAATAGCATTCGTTTTGCCAGAGAACTACTTGAAGATAAACATCCTACCAAATGATAGAATTGCTATACCACTAGATCATTCTGCCCAACTTAATCATTTTGTTAAAACTATCATTTGATAGATTCATGGAAATATGGAGACCTAAAATATAGAATATGTATTCTGTATCCTTATGATTAAACTTTATTACGATGATATGTATGGATACATTCATTCGCAGTGTAAGTTTGTCAATAGAATATATCGGATGTATTTTAATTGTCTGAATTAATTACCATAAATAATTTATAGATAATTGGTTCCATCATCTATGATGATTATATACATCTTCGCTAACTACCACCTGTAATAATGTTATCATAGAGCGTAACCTTCGCTGGTTAAGGGACGTTCTCTGACGTATATTTCTGGATGCTTCGAGTTTCGTTCAAGATAGTGGTTTTCACACTCACCACGCCTCACCCGCCTTCTTTTGGGCTGGTGTACAGTCTTTGGGTGTTGGACTTGGAATGGAAATTTCAGGTAGTTGAGGCATATTTCGTTACTTGCATCGTGTGATGGATGGCGTCAAAAGCGAGGTAGGCCAATCAAGACCTGAAGTGATACAATCAAGAAAAATTTTTAACGTATAGAATGACCAGCGATATATGGATTTAGACGATGAAAAAAGGAATGGTTTCTATTATTACTAGCAATGGCGTCAGACCGAGCAGCTTAGAGACTTCTTATCCTTGTAGCCAATGGAGCCAGCGTAACCAGTAATGGTGTTAGAAGAAGAAGAAAGTTCCATCATCTTCAAGCCAAATATTTGAAATTTGTCCCTTTCTAGATAAAAGAATATCCCTTTGAAAATTTATGAAAAACTTACGGCAATTTAATTGTGCAAAACTTCTACATTCTCATAAAACTTCATCACCATTAGGCAAAAGCACCAAATTTAAATGTCAATCAAAATTTCTGAAATTTTTTCATTTTTCAATACATTCTAATATGTTCTGTAATCTATAAGCATGGATATCAGTCGATTGATGATCTTTTTGTCTTTTTAAGGAATTATACGATTTTTGTTTTGTCGCTCTTATTTGAATTTATAAATAAATAAATAACTGGTTAGCGCTCACCATTTTTCGTTAGTTTGGCTCCACTGCCTGTTATTAGAATGAGGAATTTTTAGTAGAAAGTCATTTGAGGATTGAGGTGCTGATAGTTCGCTAGCATTGCCCGGATTTTTAATGGCAGGCACATTCCTGTCATAAATAGGATCTGAACCGGAACCCTTGATTATTAAGAGCAACAAATTATTCGGCCTTCCTCCTGCCTCTTATTGTTCATCAACACAAATTTAAGATTTATCATGTTTTACAATAAGCGTCGCGTCACAAAAATTTAGTGGTAAGTTAAATTAAGTGGGTGCTAAAAGCATATTTCGAAGGAATAAAGAAGAGAAGAGTGATTATTTTTATTTTTATTTTAAAAAATCATAACTGATTTTATTAGTTCATCTGCTTAGTTTACTAATGTAAAATACTTTAAAGATAATTTATTGAAGCATTCAGTCATTAAATAATTTTTAAAGTTAATTACAAACTTCTTGCAAAATAGGAACTTCAAATCAAGAAAAAAAGTTACATCAAAAAAAGAACAAAAAGGGTAATAAAATCAAACATGTAATTTTGAACAAAAAATCGAATCTTGTTGCTGCAATAAATTCTTTGTCGCTAATATGTCTCTTTGGTATCACATGCAATAGAAAAAATTCCCTTTGGTCTGGAATATTTCTGCCGATGTTTATAGCAAATTTCATCGTTCCATGCAGTAATAAAATAAGCGAGAAAATTTACAATGTAATGTATCAATAAGAAAAGTATATTTAACCGTATATTTGAAACAAAGAGTAAATGTCCCAATATTGTTAGTTTCAATTCAAATCCCCGATTCTGTTGCTGGTAGGAGAAAATCTGTTTTTCAAAAGTCCCTGTAGTGACTATCGCGAAGTTATGACAAGCCAGCGTAGCGAGCCTAACCAGAAATGAATATCGCTTTTAGAAAAAAAAATATTTAAAAAATATTTGAAAAACTGGTAGAGTTTTTAAAACTGAAAAACGGTCAAAAATTGATACGAAAAAATACGAAAATATACGAAAATACGAAAAAATTGATAGCGGTGGAAAAATTTGCTTGTCATTCGAGAGTATAAGGAAGCATCCATATGGTGTATAAGAGTATAAGCATCCAGTGCATAAGGTTTACTTTACAGTGGATAACGCTTAACCTAAATAATTTACGGTTTCAACTATAACTTTTGAAATAACAAATTGAGGATAACATCGAATTCGATAGTTCAGTTTGAAATTTTGCAGTAAATCATTCAAAAATTGGAAGAATTAACACTTTTATATTTTTAGATAATTTATGGATATTTGATTAATAGCTAATAGGGATAAATAAGATTTTCTTGTATCAATTACCATTACAATTCAGTTTTTTTCTACTTATGAGGTCTTGTCCTGAACTTTTTATCAATTAGATTTATACAACAGCCTTGTGCAATATGCAGTTGTGCAATATTTGCTTGACTGGTTTCTTGCTGGTCATTATTCCAACTATTTCACCATTTATTCGATTATTATTGTCTCCTAATCCAATTCATTTGATTTTTAATCATATAGCCCAGGTTTAATTTATGAGGATTCTTTTTCTATATTGTATTCCTTTAATTCTTCGCAAATCCATCATTGGGACGATTGGACCCATCGGCAATACTTCTTATTTTTTATATTTTTCATGTAAATTTTGGTATTCAAATATCAATATATCGACATATTTCCATTTCGATGTGATAGGCTTCTGAAAAGATGAAAGAAAAAGAAAATTTTTTTTTCCAACTCAAATAATTCTCGAGGCACAAATTTATCTTAGAAGGTGCTTAAGGGACAAAAGAGAAGGCTTACTGATCACGAAATGGGTGTGATTTAAGGGACAAATGTTGCTGAAAATATATAAATTTCCGATTATCACGAGATCCATTCCATCGACCCAGTTTTATCAACGCTATCAGCTATCTTTTTGCATTTAGACAGGCAGATTTTCATGAATCAATCATTTTTTGAAAACGAAATTCATTCTACCAAATTACTTTCAATCGATGAAATTTTCATTATAAATTTGTGTTTAAATGCCACAATCTACTCTAATCGATTCCAGTTTGTTGGCAATTATTGATAGATGAATAGTTTTTATTGAAAAATACCGTGAAGGAAATCGACCCATATGAAAATGCTCCAACAAAAATTTGGTTGCCTATGCTAAAGATTTTCCACTTAATTCTTATACGTTTATATGGTATCAGTAACTAAAGGATTCAATATAATTCAATATTATATTCGTTTAAAATGGTCTAAATTTAGAAATCAACTTTGAGATGGAAAAAAAATTGAAGACAGAAATTTTAAATGAGTTCATTATAGATATAAATATGTATTATATCATCTCAATTTCAATTTTTCATTCTGCTTACAAATAGAATCGATAATGGAAATTACTTCAGCAACTAGAAATCAATGAAAATCCTCATGTACGAATTCGAATAAGCTAAGATTGTCATAAAAAAGAGAATAATATCGCAGATTCCTGTAGAATTTCACGATAATACTGAAATTAGTGGAACCTGACTAAAAGGGGTTATTATCAGGATATGGGCTGATAAGCAAGATCTTTACCATAAAACTGTTGATTTAACTGACATTGGTGGAAAAAAAGTAAATATAAATGTACTTCAAAAGTGATTTCAAAGATGATTCAAAAAACTCTAAACAGCACAGTGCATCAAAAATAAAGATAAATACTTCACAGCGGAATTATGCCATTCATCATGCATTTCATGCTTCATTTTCTTTTTTTTTAGAGCGCTATTGCGGGTTAGGCTTACTTTACTGGCTTGTCGGGTTAGACACATATGCCAGAAAGCTTTTTAGCGATAGAAATACAAGTGACTCGCTAACACCTCGATTTTTGGACAAGTCTACTCCTGCGAATGAAGAAATACTACATCACTGCTCTGAATTGAGCAACAGCCCACTGACCCATTCTACTTTCTTTAGCTTTTCTTCTTTAGATGACACTGCCACCAGAAGAAAAGTGATGTATGGAGGAATACAAGTCTCAATTCTGGATGATGATTGTCTTGCCTCAGTCCCACCGATGCACCCACATCTTATCTAGTATAAATAGTGGTAATTGATCAAATATATGTTCTTTTTTTTCACTTGTCTCATCCTGATAAACGAAAGAACGGACCAAATCGAAAATAAATATTTTTAAATGATATATATATATATATATATTATATTCTATAGTACAGGGTCAATTTTTTCTCAAATTTTTGTGCGTTTTTTATAGTGCCAGATTCTTTGTTCTAATTTGCTTGTTTATCGGATTTTGAAAATCTTTCATTTCGAATTTTGATTATATGCATTCATAAATATAATATTCACTTTTTTTAAATAATATATTGGTCAAAAAACTAAATTCGTTTTTTAAAAGGACAAATATTTTTAGAATTTTGCATTTCTCCAAGGATCATTATTCAAAAAAGCAATTTATTCAGCGCTCTTCTTGTTAAAAACGCCACGTTCGTTCTTCAACCTATATTTGTTTGCCGGCAACTTTTATTTAAATTATCCATAAGAATTATGGATTGGTTTATTAATTTTATACTAAATTAATTTCTTTTGTCATTTATTACTTTTCTTAATTCGAATTAATAATCGAGCAATAATAAATTGAACTTGAATGCCTTTATAAAACAACTGTTTGTGCGGTATGCGGTGCGTAATTTGGTGAAACATTATACCTCTTATGGAATACAATATGAAACAAATTTTTGTGCTATTTTTTGGGTCAATAGAAATAGAACTAGAG